TTCCCATCAACTCTTCCTGGACTGTTCAGCCCATCGGATGCCACTTTTATTGTGGCATCAGTAGAATGGCTTGCACTGGGTTCTTTTCAGCTGCTTGCCATCAGTCAGGAAGAACTTTGGCAGAAGACACCGGCATCCTGGTGACCAGGGCTACAAGTAATCTGAAGATTTTTGTGAGAGATTGTGGAATTCACATGTTTTTCTCGGTTGGCGATTTACCTAGATTTTGTTCTCTCAGCACAGATGGTTTGGACAGAAGGAGAGTCTAAGAGCCCACAGAAAAGGCAGGCCGAGAGTGTGAGCTCTTTACCGGAAAAGACACACACACACACACACACACACACACACACACACACACACACACACACACACACACGGATTACTAGGTTGGTCAACATTCAGGACCTATTTCAGTTCTTTACTTCCTATTCAACCTTCGTTACTTCCTGCCTCTGGGCTTCAGTTTCCCTGGCAAATTGGGATGTGGTTTTCTCATTTCTCCCAGCCCGATTGCTTTACAGCTGTAGAAGTTGCAGATGGTTGATCAATCGATTCTGCCGAGAGCCCTTTGTCTACAAGGTTCATCGAGAAGACATGATCCTTGCCTTCAAGAAACCGTGGAGGGTCAGTTCTCCCCAGGTGTTATGTTTTGGCAATGCAGAAGCTGTATTTGCTTTTCCTGGGTGCTGGGGAGGAGGCAGTGGGTCTGCACATGCTGCAGAGGAGGGTGGACAGCTCCTGGGAAGCGAGGACACCCAGTATGGCTGCTGTCCTAGGGTGCAGCGGCTCCCCCTGGATCTGAGAGGCCTTTGACGGACAAGGGGCAAGTGGGGGTGGGGGGGCACGGGGGCAGTTAGAGCCCTTGGTCCTGAAGTCAAGCTACAGCCCTGTGATTCTCATCTTTGCCCTCACCTTCGATGACAGAATTGATTCTTGTTTGTTCCCTGTGTGGTGGCCACTGTAACCTGTTATCTCTTTAAGGAAGTGCTCCTCCCAGCTTCAGACACCCTGTGCTCTACAAGCCACAGGTGGAAAGCCCTGGGGAAAACCCACGTCCAATGAGCGAGGGGGCAAGGGACTGTCTTGCTTGCACCAGCGGCCCACCTTTCCCCAAGTGGAACAAAATTCCACATATTCACCTCTATCATAGGCTGAGCCTCCTAAGGGTTCCAGCATCCGCGACAGTGTATGCCTGCGTCTTTCCCTTGTTCTAAAAGCCTAAATATTGAGATAGTCTAGGAAATTGGGGCCACCACCGTTTTTTTTTCCCCTCCAGTTTTGAAGATTGAACCCAGGGACCCTACCACTGAGCTATATCCACAGCCTTTATTTTTGAGAGACAGGATCAGGATCTTGCCAAGTTGCTGAGGCTGGCCGTGAATTTGTGATCCTCCTGCCTCAGCCTCCTGAACCCAGCTCACTATTTGCTTTTCCTATTGACCAGGGTGGAATTAGATGAGTGATGGCCCTCGGTCCGACAAAGAGGTGGGCCACCTCCTGGGTGCATGTCAAGGTAACAGGTGACTTTTCCAAGCAAATCTGTGCCCACCCTGTGTGAATGTGATAGAGAACTTTTAGAATGCCCTGGAACACATCGCTTCCCTTCTCTTTGCTCATGTGACTGAAATGAGAGTTGGCCCGTGGCTTTCATTGCTACCATCTCCGATTCCAAATGTTTAGCTTTTGTCCTTAAGGATGGGGTTGGACCTTTAGGATTTACTAATATAACCATCTACAGAGAATGATATTTGTTTCTAAATTAAAAAGTCAATTTATTGGTAATGGAGATATACTTGTGGTAGAGTACTTGCCTAGCATGGGAAGACCTGGGGTTCATTCCAAAGCACTGCGGGGAAAAAAAAAAAAATCAATTTGTCCTGAAAGTTAGAGGGGCCGTGGGGTAAGCAAAGTACCCCTGCCTGCTTAGATACAACCATGTCATGATATTTGAGTGTCAAAGAAGACTAGATAAAGGCACAAATACCTGGTGAATTCTGGCAAATTCCTATCCAATCTCCAGGACACAGCCATAGCCACAAGGCTACCTCCTCAGTAAAGGCTTCTCTAACTCTTGTAGTAGGGACCTATCTTATGCCAGGATTCTGTCCCTTTACAAGGGCTGGAAACAGACATTTGAGTAAGACACTGTCCTAGCCCCAAGGGGCTTCCTACCTAGGATGTAAAATTACACAAAAGGATCCCAGACAGGAAACTGGATGACTCCTTAATAGAGGAATAAAAAAATTTCTCAAAGGAAGTAAAGCCAGACTTTTGCCAAAAGGCATTGAACCTGACTTGATCCAGCCTGTGGACCTAGCTGCTGATCTGCAGGAGATGCCAAGGACGGGGAACTAACTAGATCACAGAGTTTGCAGTCGGCAAAAATTTAGCCTATGGGAAACTACTTGTAAAATGGTCCAGGTTCCTCAGTGGCTACATTGCAAGGAAATCAAAGGGAAGGAAAAGAATCCTACTGATTAAAAGAGAAAATATGGAAGAGCTGGGCACAATGACATACCTGTAACCTCATAGACTTGGGAAGCTAGGGCAGAGGATCACAAGTTCCAGGCCAGACTCAGCAACTTAGCAATTAACAAGACTGTCTCAAAAAATAAAAAGGAAATGCCAGGCAGGGTGGCACACACCTGCAATTCCAGAGACTCGGGAGGCTGAGGCAGGAGGATTGCTAGTTTGAGGCTACCCTCAGCAACTTAGTGAGGTCCTAAGCAATTTAGTGAGATCTCGTGTCAGGAAAAAAAAAAAAAAAAGAAAAGAAAAACCTGGGGATTTAGCTCAGTGATTAAGCACCCAAGTTTAAGTACCCAAGTTCAATCCCTAGTCCAAAAAACAAGTAACAAAAACCTCAAAAGATATATTCATTTTTTAAATAAGCAAAATTAAACTACAAGGTATGCAGATGCAAAGAAGCTCAATTAGCTTATAAATAAAACACAAGTGATAACCATGAAAAACCACATCCTCTGCTTCTATAGTTATGGGAGTGACAATGGAAGGGACAATGAAATACTTTTGGAGCATCTGACAAAAGCCTCAGATCTGGGTAGAATTCCCTTTACGACTCATTAATACTATCATCTGATTTGTGTGGCCTTTGAATCTGTGTTCTATCATACAATAAAAGATTTGAAATCTCTCTAAGCTGGAATATGGAACTAAAATTCACAACCTGAGGCATAACAAATATACTTACTGAAATCTGCTTTTAAGTAATGTTTGTTGACATAAAATATATATATTTTAAATATCCTAAATGCCTTACCTGCCTACAAACCAATGGTATCTACCAGTATGGCTCTCACCCTGCATTGCCAGAGGCCCTGTAATCTGTTCTGGACCCAAGTAGCACGACCCCAAGGGGAGGACCAAGCCAGGAAGGGAGGGGCTGGAGGGGGGCGGGGCTCTGCAGCTCCAAGTTCTGTTCCCTAGGGAGGGCCTATTCTAACTCTGAATAGGGGGTCAGACTCAGTTCCCACCCAGGCCTGGCCGTGAAAGGGTTCACTGTGATCTTGTCAGGGAAATGGGTGGAGTGGCTCGAGGTTCTCTTGCTTTCTTTAAGGACCAAATTCTGAGGTAGAAACTAAGAATCTCAGGCCACTGGGCATTTAGGAAATAACTTTAAAATTTACTATCTAAGGCATTTGAAGTCCAGGGACTGTAGGGATTTAATGGAGGTCATGCCATAAGCTCAACATAGTCGTTTCTGCCCCTGCATCACCTGTGAAGTCAGCGACCTGCCTCCAGCCAGGCAGGGGCGAGTAGAGATGCCCACTGGCTTTCAGGGTAGTTCCAAAGCTTGGGTCTGACTTGTCATCACTTCCGTCTCCTCTCACCAACCCTGATCTAGGAAACATAACTGACCCCTACCTCTGACCCTTCACCTGTGGGGACCCATGTTTCCCCAACATCTGTCCACTGACCTCTTCTGGACTTTGTGCCTCATTGACTTTGCCTTGGCTGATCCATGACACAACCCCAACCCCCACCCCCAATCCCCGCCAGGGTGAAATTTGGTTCCAGCTACTACAGAAAACCCAGAGTTCAGCTGGGGAGCACTTTCTCATCAGTTATCCAAAGAAAGAGATTCAAGGCAATACCCAGCACAGAGCATCTCTCTCCTTCCTATCCCCGAAATGCCTGGATTCTGCATAGGCTGAGGCACTTGTTGCAAAGGGACCTCTTTGCATTTAGCAACAATTTCATGATGACACAGACACCTAGCTCACCATTCCCTTTCAAAGCCAAGAGCAGAATTGCCAAGATCATTGTAATGTCATGTGTAGCTAATTAAAAAACAAAAGCCAAAGAGCATTGCTTTCATTTATTGGGATCTTAGGGTTTAAAAAACCTATATATTTAAAA